AGACAACTTGACATGGGCACGTCATGAGGGTGATTACCTTTCTAATGAAGAGTTTGGGAATTGCACATTACCACGCGCCCTATTGATGCGAGTGCGTCATATCGAAGGAACATCTACCAATCATCAAAAACGAAAAATTAAACAAAAAATTTGCGCAAACTCTAAGAAAACATATTGAAACTATCAAATAGAATTTAACAAACAACTAAAAATAAATTGGGTTGTCTCCCAATAAGTACCTTTCTTTAACGTTTTTTGCCAGACATAGTTAATCACGCTTAACGTTTGTGAGACGGATCTTCGAGGTGCAGCATCTCTACCTCTTCCACTAGCAATCCTTCATAATAGTGTTTAAGACAATGTCCATTGAAAACGAATTTTTTCTCAGTCTTTAAACTTTATATTTCTATTGCACCATAATGAAAAATATTAGTAACAATAAAAGGACCAATTTACCGAAAACGCAATTTACTTGGAAATAACTTGAGCTGCGATTGGTAGAGAAGAACTTTTTGACCAATGACAAAAGTCTTTCTAGAAATTTGCTGATCATGAAAAGATTTATTTTTCTCCTTATAGATCGGCGCATTCTTATAGACTTCGCTCCTAATTTCTTCTAGCTTCTGTAACTCCAATTTCCGATGAACACCGACCTCTACTAGATCCAGATTGCATTGCTTTATTGCCCAAAACGCCCTGTGTTCGAATTTCACTGGCAGGTGGCATGGCTTCCCAAACACTAATCTATAGGGAGACATCCCTATATGTGTCTTATACGCTGTCCGATAGGCCCAGAGTACGTCTTTCAACTTCTAACTCCAATCCTTCCTATCTGATCGCACCATTTTCTTCAAGATAGACTTTATTTCTCTATTTGAAACCTCGATTTGGCCATTTGTTTGCGGATGATATAACGTAGAGATCTTATGACGGACACCATACTTCCTAAATAATGCCACTATCATTTTGTTGCAGAAGTGTGTCCCCCTGTCACTAACAATAGCCTTTGGTATTTGAAAATACACAAAAATATTGGATTTGACAAAATCTGAAATCACTCTTGAATCTTTAGTACGGGTGGCTTTAACTTCACCCATTTGAAAACATAATCAACTGCCAATATTATATAAAGGAAGCCAAACGACATGGGGAAAGGACTCATAAAGTCGATCCTCCAATATAAAAAATTTCAACAAAGAATATGGGAGTTTGAGTCATCTAATTTCGACGAGAAATGTTACCCACTTTTTGACATCTTTCATACAACTTATAGAACATGTAGGCATTTTTGAACAGTAAAGGCTAGTAGAATCTACTCTCTAGCACCTTACGAGCTGTTCTCTTTGGTTCAAAGTGACCTCCACAAGCAAAAGAGTGGCAAAAAGTTAGGATTGAATGATATTCATTTTCACATACACACCTTAACATTATTTGATCCGCACAATACTTTCACAGGTACGGGTCATCCCATATGAAGTATTTGGCATCGCTTCTTAACTTGTCCCGCATCGCTTTAGGCCAACCTGTAGGTAATTTGCCAATTACTAGGTAATTGATTAAATCAACATACCAAGGCAATTTAAAATTTAGAAAAAATAATTATTCATTGGGGAAGGTATCTCTCAATGGAACATTCTCCTTTTCAACTGGTATGTGGCTCATATGGTTAGCTCCGATCCTCTTTTATCCCTGATTTCCAGGTCGAATTCTTGTAAGAGTAATATTCATTTTATTAGCCTCGGCTTCACATTTTTTTTCGTTTTCAGGTATCTCAGAGCTGCATGATCAGAGAATACAATGACTTTAGCCCTTAATAAATACAACCTAAATTTCTTTAAAGCAAAAAACAACTGTTAAAAGCTCATTATCTGTGGTGGAGTAATTCAATTGAGTTCCATTCAAAACCCTTGATGCATAGTAGATGGCGTGGGCTGTTTTTCCTACTCTTTGTCCCAACACTACTCCTACTGCATGATCACTAGCGTCACACATGATTTTGAATAAGAGATTCCAATCTGAAGATTGAATAATCGGGAATGAAGTCAAGATTTCTTTCAATTTGTTGAACGCCTCCTTGCAATCTTCATTAAACTCAAACGTCACGTCCTTTTGCAACAATCTGAATAGGGGTGCTCCAATTTTTAAGAAATCTTTGATGAACCTATGGTAGAAGCCTGCATGACTAAGAAAAAAGCGTACTTCCCGAACACTTGCGCGGTAAGGTAAAGCAGAAACAATATCTATTTTAGCTTTATCAATTTCTATACCCCTGGATGACACTAAATGTTCCAAAACTACCCCTTGCTCTATTCAACCATAAAATGACATTTTTCTCAATTGAGCACTAAGTTAGTTTCATACACCTTCTTAAAATTAATTTCAAATTATCAAGATAATTATCGAAACTATCACCATATACGCTAAAGTCGTCCATAAACACCTCTATTATTTTTTTTACATATTCAGAAAAGATACTTACCATACATCTCTGGAACGTGGCAGGGGTGTTACACAATCCGAATGGCATTCGTCTGTATGCAAAGGTTCCGAACGGGCATGTAAAGGTGATTTTCTCCTGATCTTCTAGTGCAATCCAGACATGGAAGTAACCTGAGGAACAATTCAAAAAATAATAGTAAGCTCTACATGCTAAATGTTCAATCATTTGATCAATAAAAGGGAGAGGGAAGTGATCTTTTTTCGTGACGGCGTTGAGCTTGCGATAGTCTATGCACTGTCACCACCTAGTGGGTTTCGTACTGAAACCAACTCACCATCTTGATTAGCTTCTACTGTCACCCTCATTTTCTTCGGCACTACCTGTACTGGATTTACCCATAGGCTATCTAATATAGCATAAATAATTTCTACATCTAGCAACTTAAGTATTTCTTTTTTCACTACCTCCATCATAAGAGGATTCAACCTTCTTTGAGCTTGTCGGATGGGTTTAGCCTCTTTTTTGAGTCTAATTCTGTGCATACACATAGACGGGTTGATCCCCTTCATGTCCGCAATGATCCACCCTATCACTTGTTTGTGATCTTTAAGAACTCGAATCAACTTATCCTCTTGGGTTGCCGATAACTTAGCAGAAATGATCACCGAGAGAGTCTCATGGTCACCAAGGTATGCATACTTCAAGTGATCTGGTAAGGATTTTAATTCTACGATCGATGCCTACACAATAGAGGATAATAGTTTTTGGTGAGATTCAAGTATAAAAATAGGTGCAAACCTATACATTATTGTTGTAGTCGCCAAGGATTATAATGTCCGATCATATTTTACAATTTATCGCCTAATTCCCTATCATAAGTTATTGATAACTCAATGTACTTGGTTAAAGCCACTTCCAGCTCATCCCTGCTATCAATTTAAAAAATTTCTTGTACCACAAGATCAATGACACTTATAGCAAAAATCGAATTAGAACTAGAAGTAGAAGGATTCTTCATAGTTTCAAATATGTTAAAATGAATAATTTTTCCATCGAACTCCATAGATAGAGCGTTCTTATTAACATCAATTTTCATTTGAGGTGTACTTAAAAAGGGTCTACTTAGCAGCAAAGGTGATGGATCTGAGAAATAATCATCATCCATATCTAAGACATAAAAATCAGCAGGGAAAACCAATTCATTGACCCTGACTAAAACATCTTCTATTAGTCCATCTGGGTATGCATTTGTTCGATCAGTCAATTGAATTATAATGCATGTTTCTTTCAACAGTCCTAAATTTAGAGAAACATATATAAATTTTGGCATGACATTAATTGATACTCTCAAATCTAATATGACATTTCTAATAAAAGTACATCCTATCTTACAGGGGATAGTGAACATACCTGAGTCCCCGCATTTGGATGGGAGTTTCCTTTGAAGAACTACTAACACACGTTCTCCCCCACTATAACTCTTTCATCTCCGCTAGCCTTCTTCTGTTGATGCACAAGTCCTTGAGAAATTTTGCATATCTCGGTACTTGTTTAATTGCATCCAATAAGGGGATGTTTATCTCCACCTTACGAAATATTTCTAAAATCTCCTTCTCCTTGTCTTGCTTTTTCGACTTCTCCAATCTGTTAGGAAAAGGTGGTGGATTAGATTGAACTTTAATCATTAAATCAGATATTACCTTTGGAGTTACGCTTCTCATTCCTTCCTCCGCAAGCTCCTTCTCAATCCGATCTTCATTTTTATCCTTGGGGATCATGAGTTCAAGTCCCTCCAATTCTCTTCCACTCCTTAAAGTTATGGCGCTTACATTTTTCGAGTTTACTTCAGGTTGAGATAGCAACTTTTCTTGTCCTTGTGATTTTGAACGGTTAATCGATATTGCCAGCTGACTTATTTGATTTTGGAGCTCCTGTATGACAGAGTCCATCTTCTGCTGATGTTAAGTAGTGTTCATAGCTAATTGTTTCACCAGCTCCTTCAATAAAGGTCCCGAATCGGAAGAGGAAGATTGTGGTCGGGATTGGTACTATTGTTGGTATCCCTGCTATCTATTTGGCATGAAATTTTGCTGTTTATTTCCTCCATAACTAAAGTTCGGATGATCCCTTCAACTTGGATTGTAGGTGTTAACTTATGGATCATATTGCCTTCTTGGCGTGGGCGCGTGATCAAGTAAGTTTACCTGCTGAACATCCTCATTTTGAAGCGTTGGGCACATGTCCATGGGGTGTCCTCCATTAGTACAAATCCCAAATGTCCGGACTTGTCGTATATGTCGTACAGCAAATTGCCTGACGAAAGATGTTAACTCAGACAACTACCGCTGGATAGATAAGATCTCCACTTTATTCACCCTACGCGTCGGGATATCTTCTCGTGTGCCAAACTACTGTAAGTTCTTGGCCATCCCCTCTATTAGTTCCCCAAGCTTCTCTGGGGGTTTTATTGACTAATGCTCCTTCACTTGCAGTATCAATAATACTTCTATCTCGGAAAAGTAAACCCTCATAGAAGTATTGAATCAGCAACTGCTCACTTACCTGGTGTTCAGGGCATTTAATGCACAATTTCTTGAATCGTTCCCAATAGTCATAAAGTGACTCCCCAGAGTGCTGTTTAATACCGCATATCTCCTTTCGCAGACTGGCAGCTTTAGAAGTAGAAAAATATTTTTTATAAAATTTCTTTTGCAACTGCTCCCAAGTGGTGATACTATCCGGTGGCAGAGAGTACAACCAGTCCTTTGCTGCATCCTTGATAGAAAAGGGGAATACTCTCATCTTTATATGTTACTCAGTAATCCCTGGTGGTTTCATACTTGTGCACAATATGTCAAACTTTTGCAAGTGTTTGTGGGGCTTCTCACCTGGAAGATCATGAAAAGAGGGTAAAAGATGAATTAGTCCCAATTTTAGGTCAAAAGGTGTATTATTATCTAAATTTGAAAAAGTAATGCATAGTGGTTGCTGATTTAGATCAGGGGCAACCAACTCCCTTAAAGACCGTGCATTAGCCATGGTAGCGTTCTCTTGATCGGAGTCACTCGAGGTGTCAACGAAAGAGTTTGTCAGATTGACTTCTGGATTAAATCTTTGAGTAACTAATTGTTCCTCTCTGTGTTGTCTGGTATCTTTCCTTGTTCTACGTGCGATCTTCTCTATTTCAGGGTCGAAAATCAATTCGCCTGTACGTGAAGAGCGAGACATAAACCAGAAAAATGTCAAAAAATTAACAATAAAATGCACTCAAAAAGAAAATTAATTAACTAACACCAATCCCCAGCAATGGTGCCAAAAAATTGTCGAGATTGGCAATAATAATTTCGTACTCAAGAAAAATACAAATTTGTATATAGCGGTGAGTAGGGTCGAATCCATAGGGACTGGAGATAATTCGCTTCTTCTAGAGTTCAAAATATGAAGGATTTTATAAAAATCAACAATAAACTATGCTACTCGAATATTGCAATTAAATAAAATTAAATGGCAAATTATAAAAACTCAAATAATATTAGACAAGCTCTAGTCAAGAAACAACTTCGAAAGTGGTTCTCCTAATTGATCATTGATGCAAGAATAATTCCACTTATAAACTAATAAACAAGTTATAACTGCCAAACAAGCGATGACAGTCAATTTCTTCTTAATTATCAATAACCAAGGTACGACCATTAGCTATTACTCTAATTACAAAATAACCCTAAGTACGACCGTAGAGTTCAATTTCCCAATTGCCTTACGAATTAGAGAAACTCTACTCTAACCAAACAACACGCTACGAGGGTTGTTTCAAATTAGCCCGTATATTTTCCTGACACAAATTCAATTATGCCAGTTACCATTAATTTAGAATAATTAAATAATAACGGATTTAATTACTCTAATTGGTTTTAGGTTATTGAATTAATTTAAAATTCGGGTCCAAGATAATTGAATAATACAACAACCATAATAATATAAAACAGGAAATATACGAATATCAAAAAATAATAGAAAAAAGTAAAATCAGTTCGATCTCACAATTTTAGTTGAACCGAAACTTTTGTTGTTCCTTGACTAGAAATAAAAGCTTAGTTCATCTCTATTGAGAGAATCCACGTAAAATGGCAAAAATTATTGTCGCATACATCATCTCTTCAATTGAGATAATTAAGTCCGATGGAATAAGAATAAGAAAAATGAAAAAGTCAAAAGAATGACTCTTGTCTCTTTATTTGCCTCAGGCATACGATGGAATAAGCAAAAGAACAAGCCAAAGGCTAGTTGTCCTCTCTGTCTTGCTTGTGGCGGCTGCCTTCCCTTTTTTCCCCAAAAGCTAAGTTTCCCAAAAAATTAGAATCCTAGTCTCCGTTGACTTCTAACTACCCTACTCAGCTATGACCAAAAAGAAAGGAAATCTGCTAATTGGGAAGTTTCCTATTCTTGCTAAATTACTATTTCTAATTCAAATCAAATGATCAACTACTAGGATATTTGCAGCCCCACGTTGCACTTTCAATTGTCAATTAGGTATCGCGCATCTTTTTCGAATTTCTTGGACACATTAAAGCCTGAGTTGATGCGACCACGCCAAACAACAATTATAGTGAGAATTTGCACCTTTTTATGACATTTTGTTCCAACTCCCTACAATCAGCACAAATGCCAAAAGTGAATAGAATCCGCCAATTGATGCACATTTGTTAATATAATAGGAGGGAATTAATTATAAAGTAAATGACAAAATTGCGACCTATCAATTGACATCGAGTGTTTAAGGCACCCTTTCTATCCACAATCTGTGTCTAGAATCTGCCCATACCACATAATTAGGTGCCAGATTCAGATTCGCAAGCTGGATTCGCAGATGATCAATGAGAATCTGTTCACAGATCCGTTGCAAAAATATTTGGCTGATTTTTTCTTAAAAAGTGTTTTAAAACTTTTGGAAAATATCTTCTAATCTCATTAGAATAATTTTCAATAGTTAAAATCATGAACAAAAAGTTTTCACAATCCGATTATGAACCCAAGTTAAATTAGGATTTTTTTTAATCCAACTAGAAGCCCCTACTTTCTAAATTTGATCTCATTAAAGTAGGATGTTTCTAAAAGTATTCGAATACCTTCCAATTTAACCTCATCAAAATTGGAAAGTTTTCAAAGTTCGTTAACTTTCTTAATATTTAGTTTCATTAAAATTTAGAAAGTTTCAAAACTTAATTGGACAACTTCCTGTCCAATTTGGATTTCTAGAATTTTAAAAAAATTATTCTAATAATATTAGAAATTTAGGAACTTTTCATGTTAATCTAGAAACCCAAATGCTAAAATAAATTAATGATTAAACCTTTTTGTCATTGGAAACTAACTTGTTCCTTAACTTTTCTTTTCCCAAAAAAATTTCAGCTACAATTAACAATTAAAAGCCTTCATCTTCATGACCATTTAATGGCTGGAATTTGAAGCAACAAAGAACAAAAACTGCAGCAAAATATCTGTTACATACTGCATTAAGATAACGTAGCTTCCAACAACAAATACTTATGGTACATTCTACCCTCTTGTCGATTAGTCAATTATCAAACAAAAGATTACATGCATGAAACACCCTTACGTATGGATAAAGAAGAAAACAAGACTAATAGATTAATTTATGACAAAAGTTAAGCTAAGATTCTTTAGCCTACAAGATCACATGATGTGAACAAATAATTTGGTATGTCTTAATTCATATATATGACTATCCTGCTGATTTCTTCTTCATTCGTTGTGCTGTTCTAATCCTTATTTCTTTCTTTTCTTTTGGTGATCTCATCGTATAAAATAAGCCACGAAACCATTTTGTTTTGATTGAAATTTGCATATTACAAACATTGAAAATATTCAAGAACACTTCTAGAAAAATTTTCAATCAACATTATTCATGAAAAACCTTAAACCAACTTCAAGAACAGCATACAATTATGATCTTATCACCATCCATGACAATTAAATGAATTGATCACATAGTTTAATTAAATTTGGCTCTGATGCCATTGTAAGGAATCACACGAGTATGCACAACAAAAAACTTAAAAATTTTGATTTCTTTAGTAGATTATCTTTTAACTAATTCCATGTGACAAAAAGTTGATTTAACAAGAATACTGCAAACTGCGAAGATCTTTTTAAACTTATTGGAGATTTGTCATATAGGATGGCAAAAAGATTCATGTAGTTGCATGCATGTCCAGACTTTATTGGTGATTCACATAAACCTTCTTAACTAAAATCTCTTAGATTGAATTAGCTTTGCTAAATTAGTGCTAGCTATTATCAAAGCAACAATACACTATATGGTAGAAAAACCCTAACTCAACTGAGTAGGAAAATTGTGCAAGATAAAGAAAGAGGATGGAAGTTTTCTTTCTCCTTTTTGGGCCGATTTTTGCTTTTTTATTTTTCTTGGACTTTTTTGAAATTTTCTCAACTCAATATGTGTGTGGATTATTCTTACTAGCGTAAGTTCGGGGAATATTTATAGACAAATAGGTTATCCAAATCCTGATGAAAAATTTGAAATTACTTTTGAATAAGATTTAACTTCCTTAAATATAACTCTTATATTGTAAGATTTAACCTTATTGGTATCATAAGCACCTCAAGTTTGATTGTCTTATAATTACATTATAAGTTATAAGTTATAAAAAAACTTATATTTCAAGTTCCAATTTGAAATTCTTTTACCTAGTTAAAGAAGTTCTTAATGTGTGTGACCCATTAGACTTTACACATAGTGACATTAGGTTATAATTATCCATTAATAAGAACTAGATAAATTAAACACCTTTAATTTATCATTAATTTAATAAATCAATTAACTTATTCTTATAAATCAAAATTGGCATCTCGCACTGCATTATGACCATCAAAGTAATTAGAAAAGTCAAGTGGATGACCTCACCGCATTTGTCGTGTAATTAATATCTTTTTACCACACTTATCTCATATTAGATTTAGCATATGTGATTACACATTTAGAGTAATGTTATTTTCTTACACCAAAATATAACTATAATGAAGAAGTATTTTGAAACACTTTTTAAGACCATTCCACTTAGCACTAAGAATTTCAAGTTATCCTTCTATCTGTGGCCAATTACTCCTCTTACATAAGAAATAGTAAATTCTTATAGATTATTCACTATCTTTCTATGCTTCATACAATACCCAATTACTAACGATTTGAGCTACTCAATTATGAGAAGCAAACAAATAGAATCAAAACACAGTAATTCACACTCCAAGATACTATGATTAGGGGTGTTCAAAAAAATTGAAAAAAGTGGATAACTAAAAAAAACTAAATTGTTCCGAATCGAAAAATAGAGTAACCAACCCATAATTTTTAAAATAGTTAGGTTACCCGAGCCTACTTGAAAAACCAGATTAGGGTATTTTTTTCAATTTTCAAAAATTGTGATCATCCGAACCTACTTGTATATGTATAATAGTATAAGGTTGGTTAGGTTAACTAGTTTTCAAACCTCAACCATAATTATTTAGTCATTTACTAATAATTTAAATTATGAGGCCCATACCATTATATATTTTATTTTTCACAATTTATAAATTTGTATATTTAATTGTATCTCCCGTTTACCTTTTTCATTTCCTACATTTGT